CGAGTCGTTACCGAATTCTTAACCTCTCTAATGCTGGAATATTTCAAACATTTATGTTTCAAAAGCATCCCAATACATTTTACCATAAAATTAAGGATTGAATATTTTTCTTGTACAAATCCACAATTTCTAAGGGTGGTGAGAGTTAAAGTTTTAGGTTTTAAGTTTAAGTTGGGGGTTCCAACTTGCAGCCTTGGCTTTACATCCGAACTTAGATGGAGTACATGATGTAAAATAAGAATGTCTTACTTTCTCTTTGCACATGTTGAAACATTTGCAATATCCTGGTAAATTATATCAGTCTCCATTTGTTCGTGAATTTGTGTTGTCATCTGGCAATTTATTGTATATTCGTCTCTTTCATTTGTGGCTTTGTTTTTTCTCGATAATTGGCATTTTTGTGCATCCACTATTGTCACATTTGCTTGTTTTCTTATGTGAAAGCTTCCCTTTCTAATACATCGGTTCTTCTTTCCAGACCCACTGCCAGTTGCTGTGATACATTTCAAGATTGAATTTGTGGACTCCGCTTGTAGCAGAAGACTTTCCAGGGGCACAATTGCCACTGCTCTGTTATCAGACTTTATACAACGTACACTACATCTGGTCTTTTTCTTTTGTTATGTAAGTATCCACGAATGGAGTGATTTATTTTTAAAATCAGTTAGTGTGCTTTCTTGCTTCCATTACTTTCATTCTAAGCAATAACAAGCCCCCATTCACTGTGGTCCAACATTCTCTTCCAGGCGTGTCTTCTTCTATGAAATATCTCGAGCTACCATCAACCATTTCTACTAAATTTAAACTCCTGTAAATTTCCTTGGTATCATTTTCTTAGTGTGCAACAAGTAAATTCATTTGACTTTTTTTTTCTTCAAACAACTTGAGTTGTATGAGTATTTTACCTGTGTACTTAATGAGGTTTAACCTTGCAAAATATTAAAGTTGTTTACTGTCAATTCTGTGGTTAAATAGAAAGATAGTGACTATTCATTGTATGGTTTAATTTCTTGTCTGAATTGTATTTTATATTCTGTTAACAATTGTCCAAGCGAATTTTCTGTCATAGAAAAATTAGAATTATTGATATACTTCTATGCTAATTCAATAAAGTCTGATAATTTGTTGATCTGTTTATTTTCATTCCAATGCAATTTGTTCAATGTGTGTATTATCATGAGAAAAGGCATGTTGTTCTGTTTTTGTCATAAATTTATCCCCGCTGTCAATATTTTGTTCTGAGCTGATGATGAATTTGCACGGAATGGATGTTGAATCAGAGTAATGTATTAAATGTTCTCATAATTAATTTTGCATTGCATTGCATCATCGTGAGAAAGTTTTAGTGCTTGAGAGGTAACTTATAAGAAGGTATTAAAGTGTACACCTAATATTAATTGTTATTTACTTACAAAGCTCTTCCAGTAAACACAAATGTACAATTTTCTGTCATTAGAATAAAAATTGAAGTAAGACTACAGAACCATTAGCTATTTTGATTAATTTAGTCAATCAATATCTGCAGCACTTCAACTGACAGTATGAAGCTTTTAAAAGCTTGAATTAGGACAAATAGCTAATCTTCTTGAGAATCTTGATCAGTCAGTTCCAACAAATCACAAGCGTTGGTGGTAAGCAGCAACGGTCCTAGAACAGGAAGTAAAATAATATATTACACACTTAAGAGATAGTCTTGCAGCTTTAAAACCTATGTGGATGCACAGGCATTTCTTTCCTAGTCTAAATTATCAGCTTTTCCAGCAAATGAAGTGAACTGATTATTTACATTGATAATTAACATCTGTCAACAAACAAGTAAGCTTACTAATAAAAAGTTTTGAATGAATCGCATTAGAGAAAACGGCAACAAACTTTGATTGATATGCCTCAAATCTACCAGTCATACCTTCATGTCCCTGGGTTGCAAAGTAGCCGATTTGGGAGACTTCTTCATCTAAGGGAAGCAACTCGTGCCCAAACAATTTCACTGATCCAATGTCGACATTGTCCCACTTGCAGAGACGCTTAAGATACTCTTTAGCCATCGCAGCAGCTTGGACAAGGCTTTCTGCAACAAACACCTATGTATAAGAATACAACATATTTAGTCACATTCATGTTACTCTTACTTATGAAAAAAATAATCATACCATGAATGCCCAAAATGACAACAGCGGTTGGTTTGTTCTTTCGTGGGAGGTCCACCAAATCACCACTTTCATATGACCTTCCATTCAAGGAAAAATTGTAATAGGTGCACACCGCACCATCCTCAAGGAAAACCCCAATGACATTGACAAGCGACACTGAAAAGCAAACAAATAAAATTGTGACAGCTATTCAAAACATGAAACTTAACCAAAGGTGATAGGGTGGCTTAGACTCAAGACCTGTTGATCCAAAGTTTAAGAGACATTTTAATTTTTTTTAACATTGTAAACAGTCTGAATGCCTGAAAATGTTTGAAGAACCAACCACTCTAATACAGAAGATTCTAACTTACTTTTTCTAGTCTGATGAAGGAAAACAACACTGTCGACGCCTCTACCTCTCAAGAAAGAGCTGTAACAACAGGTGACCACAACAGCCAATGGGAGGACAGCAAATTGGCGGGCCAGGCAAGGCCCGGTGTAGATGACACAAAAGGCAAAACAGTTTTCCTCTCGGAATTTAGATTGTTTTGTGATAAATCGTCGAAGGAGTCATTCGGTCCCATGTCAACCCTTTACCGAAATTCCAGGACGCCACTCCCCCTCTCTTCCAATCCTTTGCCGCGAGCTGCCCTCGGGTTCACAGACTTCGCCAGAGCATCCTCGACGTCGTCATCGTCTCCACGCCAGGGTGGTGACTCTGGATTTGCCCACCGGTCGCCGACCCCAGAACTTCCCTGACGACGAGGTGCCTGGTCCCCGTGATCGTCATCGTCTCCGCAAGTGTGTGCGGCGCCGAGGGCGGCGCACCGCCACCGCACCGTCCCCGAGACCTCGCCGACGTAGCAGTGCCCGCGGCGACTGGACTGACAGTGTAGTGGCAGGACTTGCCCACCGCGCGCCGCCTCCGCGACCTCCCCGAACTTGGTGCCTGTCATCGCCTCGGCCAGGGTGTGGCGGCCCTGGAGTTGCCCGTCGCGTGGCCACCCCGGGGGACCGTCCCCCACGGCGGTGCCCGTCATCGCCTCCGCCAGGGTTGTGGCGGCCCTGGACTTGTCCGCCGCGCCCGCTGCCACGCCGTCCCCAAGACCACAACGGCAAGGTGCCCGCCGCGCCTTGCCGGCCTTGCCAGGGTGGCGCCCGGCTGCGCGCTCCCCCCAGAACTTCCCTGACGACGAGGTGCCTGGTCCCCGTGATCGTCATCGTCTCCGCAAGTGTGTGCGGCGCCGAGGGCGGCGCACCGCCACCGCACCGTCCCCGAGACCTCGCCGACGTAGCAGTGCCCGCGGCGACTGGACTGACAGTGTAGTGGCCAGGACTTGCCCACCGCGCGCCGCCTCCGCGACCTCCCCGAACTTGGTGCCTGTCATCGCCTCGGCCAGGGTGTGGCGGCCCTGGAGTTGCCCGTCGCGCGGCCACCCCGAGGGACCGTCCCCCACGGCGGTGCCCGTCATCGCCTCCGCCAGGGTGTGGCGGCCCTGGACTTGTCCGCCGCGCCCGCTGCCACGCCGTCCCCAAGACCACAACGGCAAGGTGCCCGCCGCGCCTTGCCGGCCTTGCCAGGGTGGCGCCCGGCCGCGCGCTCCCCCCAGAACTTCCCCGACGACGGGGCTACAATGGTCTGGTCACCACCTGCTGCTGCTGAGGAGCGTCCACGAGGGGGCACAGCAGCGGCCGGGCGAGGAGGCGAGTGGAGGAAGGATGTCATCCCGTTCGGTCCGGACCGTTGCTGCGACAGTGTCCTGCAGCAACTGTGAGCTTATGCTGAATGTGAGAGGCGCCTAGCCGTGGAAGTCCCGTCGCGAGGTGCCGCCACTGACCACGGGCGTATCTGTAGGAGGACCTGGCTGAGGCAGAGAACCAAGAGCGGTTTTGGAGGGGGCGCAAGAGCGAGATCCAAAGCGCGCTGTTCTACTTGCAGGAGTACAGACGTGAGTTTCTGCTCTAGGCTCATTCCGGAAAATGCTTTGTTGGTCTCTCTTTCTCTCTGTCGCACTCCAACGGAACGCCCCATGAGTGCGAGGGAGACAGGACGATGAACCCAGGGTTCATACTCAGCCTGCTGTTGACACTGAGAAGTGCTCCACCCTCGCCAAGCGGCCCTTGTTCGACAGGCTTGTCGGTGATTTGGACACCAGCTAGCCCGCCCCTCGCACCCGTCACTGAGGCCAGAGAGCCCCAGTGGCGGATCCAGAGTCGGCCCAAGGGGGAGGCAAAGTAGCACTTTTTGCCTACTTACAGGGGCAAATCGGTGCTTTTTGCCTACCTTTCAGGCGGCTATCTAGGGGTCAAGGGGGGGGGGGGGATTGTCCTTTTGCCCCCCCTCCCCCTGGATCCGCGCTTGGCGAGCCCCACGTCCTCGGGGGCAGTGCGAGGGGCTCAAACCAGCGGGACGGAGCTGGGCAGCAGCACGGCCCCGGCGCTGCCCCGCGAAGGGCAAAGCGTGGCCCATCTCGCACACGCAGGGGCTGCCCCCGATCCTGCGGCAGGGCCTCGTCCAGCACCACCCGGACTCGCCCTTGCGGGGCCCTCCCTGGAGCCTCCCGCTGCAGAGCCACGCCTGGTACCACCGGACGATGACATCATGGCTCTCTCATCATTTGGACTTTTAATTTTAAATTTTTTGGGTGTGAAGAGTGTTTTTCAGTAGGAAAGAATTAATTGCTTCTCTGAAGATTTGCCCTGCACTAGAGGATGCTTTTTGCATAAAATTTTCCACTTCTTATTAGAGTGCATGCAAGGGAGAAAGGGGATTAAATTTTTCTTTCTATAGTAAAAAGATTTATTTGGATAAAAAAATTTAAATATGTTTCTTACAAGACACTTTAATGAACTATATCAGCAAATGCTTCACTCATATTCCAATCTATTTACTCGTGTTGCCAGATATTCAAAATTATTTGTTTTCATGTAAAAACATGGTCCTTGGAGCTCATCGCAAGTAAAGGCAAGTACATTATCAGTAGGTGCAACTGCTGTTAAGTAACTGATGCGAACATTTTGTACATCATGAATTCTCCAAGGTATTCTTTCATAAATTTGCACCACACAGAAGTAACGAGCTGGCATGCAGAGACAAATCTTTGTACAAACACAAGTTGACACTCTTACATAGTCTCTGATTTTCCCAAGGAATGGCACGCCATCTTTCACAAATGAAGCATACATAGAACACCTCTTGGTAGCCTGTTGTTTCTCACTTGTGTAAACAATACCACTTTTTCTTAATCTAAAGAAGGACTGAAAGTGACTATTAGCAACGTTAAATCTATTCATAAGGACCTGGATTGTTGCAGCTGATACATTGTATTGAAAGGCAGGGCGACCTACTATCTTAAGTTTATCATTTATATGTTCTACAATTTTTTTATCAGGAGCTCCAGACCTTAGCTTAACACAGAAATTTCTGGCAACAGAATCAGCTAGAAGGCTGTCAATTTTAGTGTTCAAACTAAGGAATAAAGAGGCTGAGGAGCATATCTGAAGAGCAGGTTGGAAGGGGCTATGAACAAGCTTGATTATTTGCCCATTTAGAGCTTCCAGAAAAAAGCACGAGTAAACCCAGAGGGGCCCAAGATCTCGTACCATATCGCATAGATGGGCCAGCATGTGCACATTCATTCCCATGTACCGTAGACCATAGAGGTTCTGAAAGTCTTTTATATACTCAAGAAGAAGCTCTTCTGCTGAATCTATTTGATCAGGAGAAATACTGTCCAGTGACAACAATGATAAAGCGGAAACCAATTTTATGTGATGATCTAAATATACATCTTCTAAAATACCTTGCATAACAACTATTGAATAATAAAAGAACCATAACTTGTACTCTTTTGACTTCCATAGCTTCCTATCAGTCAAAGTCCTTGTAAAGCGTTCAACAAAGCTAGGAGGCACAATGCTTGACAACCTTTCATTCACAATATCAATCATCCTGGTACATGAATAGGGCTGACCCGAAAAGCTGGGATCAAACCACAGTTTGACTAACAGCTTACTCAGTCCTGAAAAAATCTGGTGCATAATGTCGATACAAGTCCCAGCCACCATGGAAGGCATAAGGAAATATAACAATGAAATTCCTTTGTACCCAAATTGTTTGTTTAGTGCAAGGTCTCTAACTTCATTATTTTTCCTGAGCTGCATTTGCTGGGGTCTTATATGTTGATGCACATGAACTGATGATCTTCCCACAGGAATTCTCACACCTCTTGACAGACATTTGCTGCAGCCATAGTAACCATTTGACAATTTTTGACGTAAGAATATTCCCTTGGCTTGTAAGTCACAAGTCATACAAATCATAGTTGCCTTAACAGAAACAGGAGGTCCATTGGGTACATTGAGTTGAACACCATCTCTAAACTTTCTGCAAGTTTTTTGGAGAGGCTTCAGAAACAAGTTCGGTTTTGGTTTGGATTTCCCAAACCACAGAGCTGCCAACAGGATGTTTTCTTTCCGAGTTCTCGTTTTGTAATTCAGTTCGTTAATGACTAAAAACACGGGCCACACTGAAAATTTGCTTGATTTGAAAATACTTATCCCATCAGTGTAAAACATAAAAGATATATTATAATGACCTGGCTGAAATTCTTCACCCATATTCTCTTTGTAAAGACGACCATCATATATATCTTCAAAATTGTTAGCATCTTTCTTCTGCCCATTAAACCTGAACATTAACATTTCTAGGAAACCGGGCCTCAAAAACATTCTCTGGAGTTGGTTAAGTATAGGAACCTCCACAAAAAAAGCGACTTTGGTTTCATTATTACATTGATTGCAAATGGAGTTTTTGTTTTGGAGTTTCTTAAAACATCTCTCACAATAGTAGTGCAATACAAGACAATTCCTGCCAATATCTATAAAAAGTTGCTTGAATTTGTAAAGGGAAGTAATACAGTTATTGACAGGTGGACAGTGAAGCTCAATGAGTTCCAGAATTTTAGCTAAACAAGCTCCACTTAGACTAAAAGTTATTGACAAGGTAAGAATCATTATAATCGATTCCATGACAGAGATACGAGCATTTGCATACAAGGGAATATCTCCATTGGGAGCATTACCACCTTCATAATCAACATCTGATTCATCGGATTCATCTGATTCATCATCGCTCTCATTCTCACTTTCACTAGAAGTTTCTTCATCACTACTGCTGTCGCTGACAATGTCATTATCATTTTCATCAACTGAACTATCATCATCCTCATCTTGTTGTGGTCCTTGTTGCCCTGCTTCTCCATCATTCCCTGTCGAAACAGAATAAAAATTGAAACACTCTCTTTCACAGCATGTAATTTTAAAACAAAAATGACAATTTACAAAGCATACCTTCATTGTTTGGCACTTCTAAATTATCTTCAGGATCTCCTCCCACCAAAACTTCATCAACAATCTGTCCACCATTCTGTTCTCCTTCATCATCTTCACCATGATGCATCTCTTCTTCTTCATCTTGTGAATCCGCATTCTCATCACCAGACCCCGATGGCTGAGAGGAATCATCGCTCTCAGAGGAAGAAGAGGAAGACTCTAAAAAAACAAAAATAACCACAATAAAGCACCACAACTATTAAATTGATTTGAAAGGAGCGGAGGGGTAATGATAATATTTGCCAAAATGAGTGGATTGAACATGTCAGATGCTCACTCAGAGCAACACAGATGATAATATTAACGCTCATCCAGTACTTGAAATTCTAAGTGAAAAGTGAAACTCAAGGTCGGAAAAATGAGGGAGCCCTACAGTGGGACACTCAATAAATTGCTGGTCGAAACTAAATGCATTTCAATACGTGAGTTATTACAGGTTATGTTTACTTATAAATTTCTGTCACTGAAGGAAATATTAGCGGATGACAATTACACACCAGGAATTGGCATAGTCAAACAGTTGGTCCACAACAGAACCTACACGAAATTGAAGTGATTGCCATCATTAAATGTACCTTTTCGTCCACGCTTCGGTGCAGGCTGCTGTCTGTCGGAATCGGAGTCAGATGACGGCTCGGTGTCTGACAAATCACTGGCCCCACTTTCATCCCCTGCATTCAATGCATCTTTTTTCTTTCTGTACCTCGTCCATCTCGACATGTCAGTTGTTGAATTAAAATTAATAAAATGATTAAAACGAATAATAAAATTATAAAAATTATAAAACTATTGAAACATGTTTCATTCCCTTCTTCCTCCCTCCGACTATACTCAGTTCTGTTCGGTTTTCCTTTTCTTCTTTTCTGGTCGCAGGTTGACCAACACTATTCGTGGATGGCACTTCTCTTATATTCACGTTACTTTTATCACAGGCTTTCTTGTTCTTTTGACTGCACGAAAATAATTTTGAAAACCTATTGAGAAGTTAAAATGGTATGAATTGCTCTGGTTCAAATTTTAAGTAATTTCTTTTATTTTTCGATGTTTGCACGACGAGTATGAAAACCAGTATCAAGCAGGCAGTGAGATGAGGCTTGTCTGAACAAGTTGGCGCGATTTCGTGGACTTAGGCTCAACGGATCTCCACTAGCTTGTTGTTTCGTGTTAGGCTCTTCGTTAAAGAAGTTGTTTTTCCTTAGCATCGTTAATTCTTTAACGCTGATTCAGGATGGTAACTCAGTGTCTTATTCACTGGGTTCATGAAGGCCGTTGGGATGTCTGGAATGCTTCGAAAGTCCCTGCTGAGATTCGTCATGAGGGTGGACTCGGTAACATAAAGTACAAAAATGGAAAGAACTACCTCGCCAAAATCATCAAAATGTCCGGTGAGTTCTGTATACTTGCGTTGTTTAAGGATCAAAGTTTAAATGAGATTTGTATAGCCACTATTGGGACGTACTAGGTTAGAATTATAACTCAATCTGTAACGGCCGCACTCATGGCAGGTGCAAGAGTGTTGAGAGTCTTTCACTAAGATTAAACTTATTTTGGTCTGTGGCACTGAAAAGGCAATTGACTTTCAAACAGAGATTACATTGCATGTTTAATTTTACAGTTTGTTTCAAAACCCTTAACCTTAAACCGCATTGTAGCCGTTGTGGTACAAGCTTGAGCAAGCTTGCCATCAATCTCTCCGTACCATTTTCTTGATGCACCTTCTGTTTTGTGATGTTTGTATTCTTATTTGTTCGCAGATGATGTCAAAGAAGTAGAGGCAGCTGAAGAAGCCCTGGCTGAAAAAATTGCGAACGAGAATTGTGCCCCTCCATCTAAGAGGAGACCTAAGAAACCTGTTACTGCTGGACAGGCATCTGGGCGAGCGGTTTCAATAGCTTTAGGTGAGCGGCCTAAACTCACCACTCCTCAAAAGGAGGCCAAGAAGAAAGAAGCAGAAGCTGCACGTGCTAGGACAGCTGCTCAGAATGCCACAGAGGCTGAAGAAGATGCCAAACTTGCCAAATCTGTTCGGCGGCTTTTCCCATCACAGAATACCGATCAGCTTTTATCTGATGATGACATTGCGTCAATTGATGACAAAGATGATGACAAAGATGATGAAGATATGGACAGTTCCTCTGATGATAATGACAATGACAATTCAAAAGACAGAGAGTTGAGTGAATTCAGTGAGTACCCAGTGTGAATCGATAATTCTTTTTATATTTTCATGAAAGCTTCAATATTCCATTGTTGTATTTCTTCCTCACAGAAAATCCAAACACTGTGTCCTTCCTGCAGTTTCTTTTGAAATGCTTTGGAACCAAAGAAAGCATCTGTGTCTCTCCCAAGAATGTGAGTTTCATAACTTCAAATATCATCCTTACATAATATTTCTGTTGTTTGAATGTTATGTTTTTCACTCAGGTTTATGCAGTGCCGGTGATTCAGAGTAGCAAGACGGTATGTGTCCGTTCAAATCTAATGTCAGTTATTTGGTTTTCAACATTGTAGTAATTATAAAATTTCATTTGAAGGTGCGTCTGAAGAAGAAACACTCTGATGGTGGACAAGGGAGTCAGAAACATGTTAGTTCTTGATACTCAATCTCAGAAGTCGGGCACAAATTTTGCTAGGAAGACCTTTGGCTTGATTTATGGAGAGGAACAAGTAAAGCTAATGACTGCCAAGGGACGCAAGAAGGGCAGTCTGACAGCATCGCCTGATGACTTGTCGACTATATATGGTGAGTTCTGACTAAACAGTGATTAAAGAATTTCTTTTATTGAAAATTTCATCAAGTATTTAAAATCTTTTCTTTTATTTGGTTGTCTCTCTTTGACTTTAGCCTTTGTTACTGAATACTGTCCCGACTTGACTTGGAGCCAGTTTGTTAGAGCTATCACAAAGAAGTGCTCATCCACTAAGGCCAAAAAGGTATGGTCTTGTTTCCTCTCCTCTTAATCCTTAAATAGTAACTGAAAAATGCTATCATATGTTCCATTCCCCCCCCCCTTTTTTTAAGGAACCCTCAAGTAGCAAGAAATGCTCCCCCGCAAAGAAAAAGAAGAAGGGCTCAGACTCTACTTCAAAGGATGAAGGCTCTCCTTCCAAAAAGGAGAATAAGATAGTTGTTGAGCCGCTGAAGTCTCCTCTCAAGACTACTGAGAAGTCTCCAATAAAGAGTCATTCGGTGATTGCCTCCCCTGCCAAGTTCCAGAAGAGTTTGGTTGTCACTCATACTGAGCAGGTGTGTACATTTTACTCTTTTCCTTCTTTTAATGAGGCTGCCACACTTCTGTGAAGTCAGTAAATTTGACACTGTTGGCAGTGTAGAATGCAGTCAGAGGAAAAGTACGTCCATTCCAATTGGGTTTGCGACATATTCAAGTTCATGGCAGTCTGCTTTTGCCTTCCTTCTGTTTTTGTGTTCCTCTTATAATGATAGAGTAGGAAATGCTAAAAATGAATTTAAATGTAAAGTAGCATCTCTTTATTCCATACAAATTTTTTTATTGAGGTATGATAATTGTTCTTTCTGTTTCCAGCAATCACAAATGTATCAATACAATCAACATCCTACTTATCAAAATTGTTCTGGCTTTTATGTGAGTGAGACCATAGTTTCTTTTTCATTTGAAATTGCTTACTGCTTATCATAGACATTAATATTTTTTATTGTCTATCTTTTTAGGTTGATGGCATGCAGCAAGAGGCTGCGCAACCAATGATGCAATCTGGTCACACTCCAAATGGACACCAGAATGATGCCATGCAGCAAGGGGCTGCATATCCGATGATGCAATCTGGACACACTCCAAATGGACACCAAGGTGGGATGCAGCAAGGGGCTGCATATCCGATGATGCACTCTGGTCACACTGGAAGTGGGGGTCATTACCCACACACTGGAAGTGGAGCCCATTACCCTCACACTGGAAGTGGGGCCCATTACCCTCAAACTGGAAGTGCAGTTCATTACCCTCACACTGCAAGTGCAGTCCATTACCCTCACACTGCAAGTGGAGTCCAGTATGCTCACACTGGAAGTGGAGTCCAGTATCCTCAAACTGGAACTGGAATCCAATACCCATCATCTCCCACTGTAAGTAACATTATTTTCATATCTTCCTTTTATTCAATTAAGTCTGATATGGATAACGTGTGATTTGTGGTTCATCACTCCACTTAGGTTGTTTGGCATTCCTTCAATTATTAGAATTTCTTCCTTCATGTATGATTGTAAAGAAAGATTATTTGGTGTCGTAAAATTAAACTTCTGACCTGATGGCTCAGTCAACTTAGAGTTCTTATCGTGAACCTTGCGCTCAATGTTATAGTTCAACCAGCTCTGCCAAAAATTGGGCCTCGATTTTTTTTGTTTGATAGCACAATTGTTACAAATTGTTACAGAATTTATTTTAAATAATGAATTTTATAATTGTGAAATTGTTCCACAGAATTTTTTCTATCAGATGCCACCAAATCATCTTTCTTTACACTGATATATGAAGGAAGAAATTCTAATCATTGAGGAAATGCCAAACAATCTAGAAAAAAATGAAGTTATGAACCACAAATCAACTTTTGGCTTTTGGCTGATCAAATAGCATTTTTTTCCATAACTTTGTTATTCAGTGATTGTTTTTATTCATGGCATTGATCCTTCCTGCTCTCAAGTGTTTTATTTCTGTTGTTGTTGTTACTTAACTGACACTTTCCTTTTGTTTGTTGCAGGTGTGCAAGAGCTTTAAGTGGAGCGTACTTCAGTTAGGCGGCTGCATTTAAGGAACGGCTAAAATAAGGCACTCTCTCTGGATTTTCTCTCTAACTATACTATTTCATTTAAAATTTTTATTTTATTTTGACTTGCTTCCATTTCTGTTAGGGTGAGCAATAAATAATTTTGAACATACATTGTATCTCATTCCCAAATCCCCCTTTCCCACAAGCACCGTGCTCTACACCAGTAGCCCGAGCGGGGCACCAGGCACCCCTGCAGGCCGCGGCACCCTGCAGGGCTACCCCCCACCCCACCCCCCAACCCCCCCCACCCCTCCCACCCCTAACCACCCCCTACCACCGCCCCTAAAATTGCCAGACGGGGGACTTGAAAGGGACTTCAGGAGGGACATCGGGGGGCGAACGGACCCCAAGGGGGACATGAGGGGACGAAAGAGGCTTCATGGACGAGGGGGACTTCAGAGTTTCTTGTACCTCAGATGCTACACTTTGGTACCTCAGAGGGACTAGATTAGGGACTTCAGGGGACTTAGAGCGAGGACTTTCGGAAGGACCGTCGGGGGACACAGATTTCTTTAGGGTTAGGCCTATTTTTATCGTTTTGAGGATGTTGCCGGTGACGGAGAACCATTGTGGCATAGTTTGGGAAAATGTTCGACAAACCTACCGAGGGGGCGAATAAAAATTTTTAGTCGGTTGGTCCCCTTTTTTGAAGATTGAGTGGATTTTGTTGAATTTAGGCCTATTTTTAAATCGTATTTAGGATGTTGCCGGTGACGGAGACCAGATTGCGGCACAGTTTTGGAAATGTCTCGACCAGACCTACTGAAAGGGCGAATAAAAATTTTTTTAGTGGGTGGGTCCCCTTTTTCAAAGATTGAGGGGTTTTGTCGGAAACGGTGAGAAATTTGGTCCCCTTTTTGAAGATTAAGTAGTTTTGCTCGGAAACGGTGAGGAATTTTGAACTTCCGGGTTTTTTCCCCAAATTTTTCCCCAAAAAATTTTGGAATCGAAGGGAAAAAACCGAAAGTCTCTACGACCACTCCTTGACCCCAAACATTTCTATAAGTGAGTCAGTGAGTCAGTGAGTCAGTCAGTCGGATTGGGGCTATATAGCTTCTTGACTCGCGCTGCTCGCTGGGGGCTCCCCCCCCGCCCCCCGCATGTGGGGGCGCGTGCCGAAGTATTTTCAGAAAGTCCGTGGTGCCCAAAAGGCAAATTTTCTAAAGAAGAAAATGTACTGCTTCTTTGAAAGGTTATTTAACAGCTTTTGACCGTATAATTAAGCTACTTTTACTGCCCAAATACATAGCTTGTATTGCATTGGCTACTGTGGCAGTCAATAGGTGCATACAAGGTCCGGAAAATATTGAAGAATGCTTTGCAGGATAGAGGTAAATGGAAAAAACCCCAAGTCTCTACGACCACCCCCTTTACCCTAAACATTTTTATGAGTGAGTCAGTCAGTCGGATTGGGGCTATATAGGCTCTTGATTGATGATTTCGAGGACGTTGCCGGTGACGGGGCCTGATCGCGGCATAGTTCGGAAATGTCTCGACTTGACCTATTGGTAGGGCGAATAAAAATTTTCAGTCGGTCGGTCCCCCTTTTCGAAGATTGAGTGGATTTTGTTAAATTTAGGCCTATTTTATTGTTTTGAGGATGTTGCCGGTGACGGGGACCCGATTGCGGCACAGTTTTGGAAATGTCTCGTCCAGACCTACCGATGGGGCGAATAAAAATTTTTAGTCAGTCGGTCCCCTTTTTTGAAGATTGAGTGGATTTTGTTAAAAATTTGGCCCACTTTTATATCGTTCTAAGGGTGTTGTCGGTGACGGGGACCAGATTGCGGCATAGTTTCGGAAATGTCTTGACCAGACCTACCGAAAGGGCGAATAAAAATTTTCAGTCGGTCGGTCCCCTTTTTTGAAGATTGAGTGGATTTTGTTGAATTAAGGCCCATTTTACGTTTTGAGGATGTTGCCGGTGACGGAGACCCGATTTTGGCATAGTTTCGGAAATGTCTCGACAAGACCTACCGATGGGGCGAATAAAAATTTTTAGTCGGTCGGTCCCCTTTTTTGAAGATTGAGTGGATTTTGTTGAATTGAGGCCTTTTTTCGTTTTGAGGGTGTTGCCGGTGACGGAGACCCGATTGTGGCATAGTTTCGGGAAAAGTCTTGACCCGACCTACCGATGGGGCAAATAAAAATTTTTTTGTCGGTCGGGCCCCTTTTTTTAAGATTGAGAGGATTTTTTTGAATTTAGGCCTTTTTTATGTTTTTAGGATATTGCCGGTGACGGAGACCCCATTGTGGCATAGTTTCGGAAATGTCTCAACAAGACCTACCGATGGGGCGAATAAAAAATTTTTTGTCGGTCGGTCCCCTTTTTGAAGATTGAGGGATTTTGTTGAATTTAGGCCTATTTTATCGTTTTGAGGATGTTGCCGGTGACGGAGACCCGATTGTGGCATAGTTTCGGAAAGTCTCGACTAGACCTACCGATGGGGAGAATAAAAATTTTTTTCGGTCGGTCCCCTTTTTTGAAGATTGAGTGGGGGTTTTTTAAAATTTTGTTAAAAAAGGCATATTTTATCGTTTTGAGGATGTTGCCGGGACGGGGACCCGATTGCGGCACAGTTTCGGAAATGTCCGACCGACCTACCGATAGGGCGAATAAAAATTTTCAGTCGGTCGGTCCCCTTTTTTGAAGATTGAGGGGATTTTGTTGAATTTAGGCCTATTTTTATTACCGTTTTTAGGATGTTCCCGTGAAGGGGGACCAGATTGCGGCACGTTTTGGAAATGTCTCGACCAACCTACCGCTAGGGGGAATAAAAATTTTTAGTCGGTCGGTCCCCTTTTTCGAAGATTGAGGGGGTTTTCTCGGAAACGGTAAGGAATTTGGTCCCCTTTTTGAAGATTATGTAGGTTTGCTCGGAAAAGGTGAGGAATTTTGAACTTTTGGGATTTTTTCCCCAAATTTTTCCCCTAAATTTTGAATCGAAAGGAAAAAACCGAAGTCTCTACGACCACTCCTTGACCCCCAAAAATTTCTATGAGTGGTGAGTGAGTGAGTGAGTCAGTGAGTCAGTCGGATTGGGGCTATATAGGTTCTTGATGATGTTTTTGAGGGTGCTGATGACGAAAACGACATTTATTTTAACTCCAGACTCAGGTTTATATCCCGTCAGGGTCAAACATAGGCCAAAATTGTACGTTTCTTATGGTACGGGACGGGCCGAAGTTGCCGATGAATATCGCTACTTTTCCTGTTATTTATTAAGGTGCAAATAGAAAAATCGAAAAAGATTGAAGAATTGTGCACCAAGTGCTCTTGCCCCCTTAAGACTTTTACATAGTTTTGTACGTTAGAAAGGGCGCTGATCACATCCGTTTTAACACCGCGTATGAGATTTCAATCATATTGAGGTAAAATACAAACAGCATTTACAAATGTTCAAAGCGGACGGGACGGGCGAATGTTGCCAATATGGATCGCCACTTATCCTGTTTTTAAGCTTGGGGTTGGCATACAAGCGTAAAAGCCCGCCAAAGGCAGGTAAGCGCTGCAGGATAAGGTGCTAGGCTTGGATTGTTGTCACGGTCGCAGCATCGTGAAGCCTGTATCAACAAAAGACGGTCTGGCGTACCACTACGTTGTTTCTCATTTGCATGGCGTTCTAGCGCAGATAGGAGAAAACTCGCATGCACTTTGGCTTAACATTGGAAAGGGTTTCATTTTGGTGCCGTCAAAACGCCGCTTTTCTTAGTGTCTGTGAAATCTGGTGTCGGTCAAAATTGGAGTGGGTTAAATCAAGGGTCAGTGCACTAAGAAAAAGCCAAAAAATTTACGTTTTTTGGGGTCAGTGAAAAACGGAAAATAATGTGGGCCAGTCGGTGACCAAAAAAATGGCGCGGTGATCGACACGGGGTTGAGTGTCCTAAAAGCTTCTTCAAAAAAGGTGAAACAAATATTTTAGTAAATAACATTATTTCTTTGAAGTAACCTTGAAAGAAAATGAATCAAATGGAAGGTCATCACGCAGTAAAATCTAGTCAGCGTGTCGCGCACATGAGTGGGACGGACGACGGTAGCCCCAGACCAGGCGGGACGCCACAGTTCGGGCCGTCGGTCAGTCTTGCGTTGTTACGCCAGCGGAGCACGTGCCTGAAAAGGGTCACAGCTGTAATGATACGATTTCTTGTCTTCGCTCTTATCGCAGCCTCGGACGCTGCGTCTTCTGCTTTGAAAGAGGGTAAGTCGAGGGGAGGGGGAGACTTTTGTTTAAGGGGGGAGACTCGTCTTTAAAAGAAAAATTTTAAAAAAATTTCAGGTTTTAAATAAAAATTTTTCCAATAGATTTGAAGGTTAGTGGGGTTTTCCAAAAAAAAGTGGTTTTTTTAATCTTGATTTTGAAAAAAAAAGTTTGTCTCTAGGCCCTTGACCTAGAATCGTGATCTTTCTACTAAACCACTAAAACCCCCCAAAAATTCACTGCGCGCATGTTTTTTAGAGTATGCGGCATCATATCATAAATGTCTTTTTTCCTCCCTAAAGAAGATCCTGGCACTCTAGATTGAACAGAATGATTGAAATACCTGGTCCTAAATGCCTGAAATTTACATTTTTAAGTGTATTAAAAAAAGCCTTTAAAATTTTGACTTTCCCCAAAAGTTTTTTCGGGCACTTCTAAGGTCCGATTGAAGATATCCTTGTTAGAGTGACGGCCTTTTAGAGGCAAAACATAGGAAAAATTATCGAGTCGAAAAAAATCAACGGTCTGGCTCAAATCGTGCGCGCAAGACCCCCAAAAAATTGCAATTGAGTAAAATGGCTTCAAAATTCGAACGGTCTAACCTATCCTGTGGAAAAATAATTTCAAAATGTCACCCATGGCCAAACGGTTTTTTTAAAATTTAATACCCGCCCGCCACCAATTTCAAGGGTTTGACACAAAGAATTCAAAAAAATCAAAAACGAAAATCTGATTTTTTGACGTAGAATGACGAGTCTCCCCCCTTAACTTCACACGTCACTGGCAAGACATTTTTTTCCATGCGAATGCTATGAGTGGTTTGGTAACCTGGCATGATCACTGAGGCGACTGTCGCGCGGCAAGCACTGTGGCGATTGTTGCCAGGTGCTTCCTCGCATCGTTCTAGGTGTTTCTACAGGTTCTCTCACTATAGGGAATCAATCACAGCTTAGGGGCCGTTCAAATGTGACGTCACACTTTTTAGGCTAATTTTTCGCCCCCCCCCCCCCTATAGTCACAAATGGTCACTATTTTGACTCACCCCTCCCCTCCCCGTGACGTCACATGGCCCAAATCATTTTTCTTGGAAACTGGGATAGATACGCGACGACGCATCGTCTTAACTAGGTGCTTAAATTTGTATTTCATATTGCATTTTGACAAATCCAGTTGAATCTGGTTCAACGCAAACTTGTTCGGAAAAATCTGAAGAAAGTACAGCTAAAATACTTGAACCGGTGACAATTTAACTGAAGCAGGTGGGGATTGCTGATTTCAGTTTCTTTTTTAGAGGCTCACACCTAGTTTATTTGGCAACTTTACACGGTTTAAATGTATGATGTCACAAAATCGCCGTCCCCCTCTCCCCCATGTCACATTTGGTCACGATTTCTCTGACCCCTCCCTCCCTGAAAAGTGTGACGTCATATTTGAACGGCCCCTTAGAACAACACGTCACGACGCCTAAAAAGGTGTCAAACAGGCCCAAAAATGTGAAAAAACCGTTTCTTTAAATTTATTGCCCCCAAAATACAGGCAGTCGTTTACAAGCATCGCATTTTTTTTTTTAGGAGTTCTCTTATCCTAGGAGGTCGATTGGCGCACAAAGCAAGACGATAGGACGCCCAGATATTTGTCAAACTGGCCTAAAAAGATGAGAAACGGCGCAAATATCGGACATTTCGTTAAATTGATCATTCCTTGGAAAAAGGCATTCGTTTACTTGTGTCGTCCAAGGTGTTTCTAGGGATCCTCTCTGTGTGGTTAATCGATAAGCACATAGGAGAAGATGATCCGACGACGGAAAAGGTGTCAAATCAGCCTATTAAGATGTAAAACAGCATTTTCCCCTATGATTTTGCAGTTTTTTGCATCTCGAAAATAGGAAATGTCCATATTTGGTATGCAGTGTTTTTAAACTGATACAAAGCTTTACAACAAACAATTCGGCGTTTTGCTTCTCTTTTTACGTTCAAATCCCGCAATACAGGACCAGGAAGTATTATTCACTAAAACTCATTGCTTTTCTAAAAACATTAAACACGTTGAGCGACCCCCAAAAAAAGTGAAAAAAAAAAACTTTAAAAAAAGTGCGAAACACTTTTGGTTTTGGCTTATTTTTAATAACAGGAAAAGTAGCGATATTCATCGGCAACTTTGGCCAGTCCCGTACATCTAGAAGAGTATGAACTTCGCCTATGTTTGACCCTGAATGGAATTAAACCTAAGTCTGGCGTTAAATAAAATGTGGTTTTCGTCATCAGCACCCTCATAAACATCAGAAACAATACAAAAAGTTAAATAAAAAGAACGATAAAAAAATACCCCGCTGGGATTTGAACCTGGGTCCGAACTTATCCGATTCGCTTGAAACTGGCACCATTAGTTTTTCTCGTCGCCCCGATACCAAAAACACACCTACATGCCCTTCTAGCTGCATCCCTTGCCGAGATCCTCCTCGACCCCATGTAGACCATGATGCACCTGCTGCAGCGCCCCCGGGGCTCGGATCGGATTTGCTACCACCGGGTGGTTCTTAGGGTCACCCAAGGAGGCTGCGTACCAAATTTGGTCAAGATCGGACCGCGGGAAGTCCTCGGACGAACGAACGAACGAACGAACGAACGAACGGACGGACGCACAGCAGGGATCCAAAAAAGATCCTCTCCTCCGCCCGACTGACTGATTGAGTGACACAGAACTTTTTACCACATCAAAAACTGGCCGATCGATTTTCTTCGTTTAACCGTCAAACGATTCGTCATTTCAACAATTGGGAAGCAAAAAAAAAAAAGAATTTACTTTTTCTCAACCTTTTGCCTGCTTAACGCGGAAAACTCATTTCCCATGAGGCCTGCAGTGAGTGGGTGGGGGAAAATGCCGCGCCCCCCGGCCGGCACACACGGCTCGCCGATCGCACTTTCACCTAGAAGGACACGTCTTAGATGGGTCATCAAAGCGTACCCTACCCCTCGAATTTAATTTTCTTTCTGCTGAACTTGGTCCCGTCTCGATGCGACCCACCGTTCTCGAGCTTTCAGCTTTTTCTCCCTAAAAAGCGGCAGAATTTTCGCTCTTTTTTCTTTCCGTGGCTGGTTTGGAGAACAATACGACTTCCGAGATACCTCATCAAAGCGTACGCTTCCCCTTTTTTTTACGAGGAACATTTTTGCCTTTATTACTTTTTCTGTAGGACGAACGGTTTTTGAGATTTCGACTCCCCCTGGTTGCCTAACGCGCGGGGGCTCTTACTTCTCATGCGAGACTTCTTTCACGCGGGTCAAATATCTTAATTTTTGTTGAATAATACTTTTGGTTCTTCGACCGTCATCTCAAGAACCATCAGTTCTCTAAATTTTCGACTTTCCTTCTACTTTCACTGGTTGCCTACTTGGCAGGGGCACTAAATTTCTCACAAGACTGCTTTCCAGAGCGGTCACAAGAATTCAATATGACTCCTTTTTAAAAAGAGATATTTCTGGGGCCATTACTTCTATCTCTAGGCGCAACGGTTCTCAAGTTGCCTACTTTGCAGGGGCGCTCACTTGATGTTCGAGACTACTTCCAAGAGTGGTCAGACAATCACACTATTATCCCTCTCTTCACAAGGTCGTCGGTTTTTCGCACTTTTACTTTTGCCGCTTTAACCACCAGTTCTTAGAATTCCGACTGCCCCTGGTTGCATACGTTGCAGGGGTGTCCACTTTTTGTACACGGTGACTACCAGTGTAGGTTCTCTACGCGTGGGCTGCTTCCCATCAAGGACAGCAAACATCTCCGATTTTACAACTTTTCGGTTAGAGAAACGGTACCCTTGAGGTTGCCTACTTTTCAGGGGCTCCAACTTTTAATAAAACAAACTATTTTGGGAGGGTTAAAGTTCAGCGCGGTAAAAACACAAAGTCCGTCTTCATAGTGGCCAAGGTGCATTCCCGTTTTTATTGCTTTCTAGCCCTTTTTTTTACAGAAAACTTGGGGTAGAATTTTAGATTGTAGAGCACTGCTTATGACAGTCAGGGTCCGTTTATAGTATTTATACATTGCTATACAGCTTGAGGGGTGCGCATTAGTTCATTTTTCAAGATAAACATTCAACAAAAGAAATCTTATCTTCAGGGACGATGGCCAAGTCAGTTTCCATTGTAATCTGCTGCTTATGAATGAAGGGCGGGGCATTCCACGTCAAACCATCATGGTCCAAAACGCACTTGCTCAGATCCGGCTCCCAATGTTTTCTATCATAGCCTTCCACACATAGACCACTCATGTAAATTTTTTTGAAAAAATATGCAGAACTTTGGCCGTGGCGATCTTTTGAAATTTCAAAAAAATTTCAAAACTTTTTTTTTAGTTTTTTAAAAATTGTGTCTTTAGGCGCTCAAATGGGTTGAAAACAGTAAATGGCAACATAATTAAGTGAGAAACAAGGTAGGGGCCCTCAGTCTTTGCCTAAAAGGGCGTTTTTGACTAAAAACAACGGTTTTTTGATTTCCCAAAATACGCCATCTTACTTTTTGACCATATTGGTATCAAAGGCACTACACAGCGAGAAATCGTAGGCCTCAACTCTTGTAATGCTTACCTTCACCTCGAAATGGTTCCAGAGAGTTAAGACAGCCACTAGGACAACATTTTAATGCATGGGAGCAATATGGGTGTCAAATAGTCAATTTTTGACGATCCACTAAGATAACTTTTAGAGTTTTTTGACAATATCTCTCGTGTTTATGGATTGCCGTCCCCAATATTTTGGTGGCAGCTAGAGTACCCCCCTAGGGCCCTTTGATACAAATATGGTCAAAAAGTAAGATAGCGTATTTTGGGAAATCAAAAAACCGTTGTTTTTAGTCAAAAACGCCCTTTAAGGCAAGGACTGAGGGCCCCAACCTTGTTTCTCACTTTATTATGTTGCCATTTAATGTTTTCAACCAATTTGAGCGCCTAAAAACACAATTTAAAAAAAAAAAGTTTTGAAAATTTTTTGAAATTTCAAAAGATTG